CCTCTCCTCTCCTCTCCTCTCCTCTCCTCTCCTCTCCTCTCCTCTCCTCTCCTCTCCTCCTTGTACTGTCTTTTCTACTTCTTCTTTTTTCTTTTATGTTTTTTCTTTCTTCCTTAGTTTCACTCTATATAATTTCATATAGTTATAAAAAGGTGTACCTAGAAACCCCAATTACTTATGGCACTCAAATATTCCCAACAGTAGTTGATGGTGGAAAGTCTAGGTTCTTTGATGTTTCATCATCATCATCTTATATAAAATTATCCAATGATCATATGGTTGGATGAGTGGATGACTATTCCCTGCAGTGAGTGGGCAAAAGAGAAAAAGACAGAAAGACTGGCAGATTCAAAAAGGGGAAAAGAAGTGGCATCACAGCTGTGGAGGAAGATGGGACATGTTACTAAAGAACAGCTTGTTAGCCTGGTGTCACTGGACTAGTCTGCTGCTTATAAAAGATAGTCTCCTTGCTTGGTGACTGAGAGCAGTGAATTAAACAGCTGATTTCCTTCACAAAATAGATAAGACAACAGTTCCAATCATATCTTTGGGTAGAGTCATGCCACGAGTGTGTCCTAATTCCTGAGGTAAGGATTGAGGCATATAATTGTGCATTTGAACTTGACATCTAGCTTAGGTTCTGAAAGAGTGGTTCTGAATCTAATGTAAAGAGTACAACTCATGCTTTCCAGTTCAGCAATAAATATAATGAAAACATGTACAATTCTTAAATGGTTATTAATATATAATGACTCATAGAATATGTGGACCACTGTCAAGAAAAAAAGAATAAAAGTGCTTATAAAATCACAGCTGTGTGCTATTGCTGGATTCTCTATACATAAATCAATGCTATTCTTCTTTATGATACTATTAAAATCTCCAGGGTAAATTTTGAATCAGTAAAAACCTAGTGTTTTAGTTTGAGAACTTGTGGGTTTTATGATAAAGTAATGATATTAATATAAAGTAAATGGCATCTAACTTTGAATGTCTCATATATTTTAAAACCATCCCATAAGCATTGACATATATTTGCTGCAAAAATAAACTAACACCATGTGCTCAAAATCTCACAGTGGAGAATATGACAAACACAGTGTAAGACGGAAAAGCTGTCCATTCTAAGAATGGAGGCCAATATTTATGATTCAAGATGTGGTTTAGAAAAAAAAAAGTTCTTCCTGAGAAAAAGTAGGTCCATTTTGCTTTTACTTTGCCAAGAGGAATAGAGAGAAAATTAAATGAATAAGTAAATCAATAAATGCATTTTATATTTTATTGCAAATTAATTGCTATATAAGTTGTTATTTTAAAAAAAGCTCAGAATTTTAAATATTATTTTTGCTTCATTCTAGGAAAAAAAAGGATATTTCAGTCAGACATGCTGTTGCTAATTATATTTGAAGATCACATGACGGAAGCAAAATGGTTGAAGATTAGTGGCAACAGTGGGAATTGGAACCCTTCAGGTTATGAAATTGTGGTGTTATGCTCATCTTTCTCTTTTGTGGGGTTTTCATGCCTTTGGTTCACCTTACACCTCATGTAAGGTGAACCAAATTTTGCAGCTGAGGCTTCCCTGTCTGTCCATTTCTAATCTGAGAAACTTGATCCCGTCTGGTTAAAGACGGGCCACAGAAATAATTCTTCCTCTTTCCCTTCCATGATATACTTACATTGAATTGGAAACAAATACTCAGAATAAGCTTTGATGAGTTAAATCATAGATGAAAGAGCAAAGGGGGGTGGGATGTGTTTTAACAGTTCTGTAATTCTGACAGCTCTTTTAGGAGGGTGTCCAAAACCTGTTGTTACATGATTGTGGGAAGCACAGAAATAGGTAAAACGTATTCTTTTCATGAACCTTTCACTACTGCCATTTTGTGATTTTTCTTCTTAAAAGCATTGGCATGAAATGTGAACTCAATTATTAATTTTCAATTTCTGAAGCTGCCCAGTCCACTGCTGGGTTATCAAGCAAGAGTTCAACAAGATACATGGCTCATTTCCAGGTACCTTTTAATGTAGCAAATTTATGTAAAAAAAAGTATGGTGTTTTCTCTTGTATCATATTAGCTACCCAGGAGGCATGGGATTCGATGCCATGCCAATTCCTGTGTGATTCTTACAATCAAGCTAAATTAATGTTATGAAGGAGTCCCAGCCAGAAAATAGCAAGATAATATATATATTTTTTTCCCTTTGGAGAACCTGGCTGGAGAATGGAATCTACTTTGCATCAGATATATACAATAGGATCAGAGGAGTAGCTACATGAAGAGTTGCAATATAAATTTCTTTTATCAAAAAAACTCAACAACCCCAGTGGGGCAGTTCTTCAACTAAAATGCAACAACCGCAGTGTGGCAATTCTTTGACTAAAATGCATTAGGACCCCAGCTAGGGTACCACACCTAGCCAACCTTGGCTGATCTCAAAAAGCTACACTGAGTCACTCCCAGTGGTATCAGGATGGGAGACAACCAGGAAATCCCATGGCTGTAAGCTAGACTGGGAAGAGGAAAAAATATCCCAGAAGAATCTGTATTATTGTCAGGAAAATTCCATGGATTTTCCATGGAGTCAGCCGGACTCAAACTCAACTTAAGGAAGACATTATTTCCTTTACTTACATAAAACTCTTTTGACATTCATATACAGGCCAGTAGCTCTAAATGTTTTAAGACCACCTTTACCATTAAAGGATTTAATATGTTCTTTACGAACATTAAGCCTATAATAATATGTTTAAATGGTTGCTGGATAGTCTATGTGGAGAATTTCCATACTAATAGACTATGAGAGGCATTGGAGAAGTCATTCCCTAAATGTCAATGGAAGACCATTTTGGCCATTATAGATTTCTTTAAAGTTGTGATGATAAATTCACATCACTATTTATCTTTCTAGAAAGAAATGTATGGGCTTAAGTAATTGTTAGGCACTCAAAATGAAACACTGGTTCTTATGATGTTATCCTCACCTCCTATAGCGTCTCTCTTTTGGACAGAAGCTATTTCACAAATTAATTTTCTCCTAGAAGATTCACTAACTTTGCCAAACTCTTTCTGATAGCTAATTCACCTGGGGGCATGACACATGATGGTTGTATCTTTCATGTTTGGCTATTTTTACTGTCCTCCCAGCTGGTGCAAAAGAGGATTAGAGGTTGTTTCCTATCTAACTTCCCTTTCCTGCCATTCCACTCCAGAATGACAATAAGATGGGGGAAAAAAAATCTGTGGTGTCCCAATCAGGGTTAGAGGCACCAGACATAGGTCTGAGGAGGCCCTATACATCCCTACCCATTTTTCCCTGTTTTTCTACTACTGCCTTCATAGTGGTCACAGAAGGTGAGGATTAGAATGGTGATAGTGACAATATTCTAAAAGTAGCTTAATTTTTTGGGGCCTCTCTAGGATGTGATCTCGATCCTGGAAGGACAGCATTTCACATGGCACAGCTGACTGGAAGGAATTACTTTAGTCCCAAGCAAAACGAGATTGTTTGGGGATAAATCAAATGCTTGTAAGGGTTAAGTGGCTGCATCGATTAATCCCACTTTCCTATTTGCATTTCTCACTAAACCTCCAACATGATCAAGTGAAGAGTGTTGTGTGAACAGGGCCATTGGTTTTTGTTAATGCTTATGTTCTTCTAAATTATATGCCAAGATTTTAGATATGAACAGAAGGATAATGGAAATGGATAGTGCACACTTTTATGATTTCAAAGAGATTGATGCTACAAGGCTGGATAAACACTGAGTCTCTGTCAATTATGTAGCGATCTGAAGAGCTCCCCTCTCTTTCTATATTTGAAAAAGCATGTTGTTGCCAGGACTCCTGTTACAGGATTATTTAGAAACTTGGACGACATATATTACCTTAAAATACATATTTGTTATTAATAAAACTGATTTAAATGCCAATACTTTAATTGTATAACATGGCATGCATAATACCGTATTTTTCCGACAATAAGATGCCCCCATGTACAAG